CCCCCTCTCTCTCCTCTCATCCCCCTCTCTCTCTCTCTCTCTCTCTCTCTCTCTCTCTCTCTCTCTATCTCGCCACAGTAACCCCCCCCTCAACACCACAACAACAACAGAGGGCCCGCCAAGGCGAACACTTTACAGTCCGGAGAGAACGAAGGACAGGCTGGGCCGACAAACCAGTCAGATTTTTGTTAGGGCTGGACATTAATTCACTTCCCAGCAAACCGAATTTAGAAGGATCATCGCCTTCGAGAACCGATCAAAGATGCTCGTCTTCCGAATTGAGAGGAAAAGTACATAGATCTATTATGTTTTTAACATGTTACAGGTTTGACAATTTTAACAGTGTTGTGCTTTTAAGATCGAAACCGTTCTAGTTCTACAGTAAGAATAGATCGATAATCTTTATCACGAAAGGATTGCAATTTAAAGAAAAAAAAATCACTGGATTTTATTTGAAGAGCGGTGGTTGGGAGGTACTACTGATAGGTCCAACTTCTTTTCTTTCCCTCTGTTGTTTCTGTCGGTTCGTCTTGTTTTAACTCTGCACTGTACAGCTGTCATTGTGTCGACATGACTGATTCTCTTTTAAACTCAAACTCAAAACCCTTTTTATTCGGAGAGAAAACAAACGGTTAACCGGATGGATGCAAACCGGAATTTCGGTAAACCCTAATTTTTGCTGGACCGAGAATGCTTGGATGAGTCACCAGCGCAGTTCACCCGGGGCCGCAGATGAAGGAAGGAAGGATCTCTCCACTCTCCCTCTACTTTCCAGCCACTGCCAGTTGTGTTGTGTTGTAGAGTTTTTAACTACCCATCATTTCGTTGTTTCACTTGAGCACAGAGCCATGGGGATTCTTCTACTGACTGTCGGGGGGAGCATCGTACACGGCGTTTGCTCATTCTCATCCCCACAGCCACGGATTTCTTCTTCCTCCTCTCCCTCCTCATCATCAACTACTTCCTCCTAGGCTGAGTGGAAGCAACCTGCTCAGCCTGAGCGTCTAGTAGATCTAGATCTAGTGCTCAGCCAACCCACAACAACAGAGAGAGGAGTCCAGGCCACACCACCGTGCGCGCGCTCTGAGTCTGACTAGTCTGAGTGAGTGAGTCTCCCAGTCTCTCTGTATGTAGCACACGATAACAACACACACATGTGTCCGTCCGTGAGAAATCATCGCGTGTTGGAACGTCGACGTGTTTTTTTTTCTGCTGGGCGCCAGTTAGTTAGTGGTGGTGGTGGTGGTGATGTTGGAGTGTAAGAATGCAGAAGAAGAATGAATCATGTTGTGGTCGCCCCATCTCACGGACACATCGGTATGCTATTTAGTTAACTCGTTCTTCTCTTCTTCCAAACCCGCCCGGGATGCTAAGTTTGCTAACTAACTGTGCCCGCAGTTGAGATCATGTAGATTAATAACGGAGTCAGTTGTTGTTCCGCTCAGCAGTTTCGAGTTATGAGATGAGGAAGGAGAGAAGAGTTTAGCCCTGCAGCGAGCGAGTAAGCAAGTGTGTGCGCGATGATTCATTCATGGATGATGTGTGTGTGTATAATACAAAGTGAATGTCGCCCTACCTAGTGTGCCTGTCACGGACTATCTAACAACGGATTGTTGAAAACACGTTGGTTGTGGTCGGTGAGGTTTTGTTCTGCAGGAAGGAGAGAAGGAGAAAGGAGGAGGAGAGAGAGAGAGAGAGAGCCAGAGAGTGAGAAGTAAGGAGCACCCACTTCACACAGGACCTTAGTTTTCTCATGCTCCAAGCTTGGGAACATCCCCGTCTGTCGCTCTGCTGGTGTGGCTAGCTCGTGTATACAGGGTGAGACTA